GTTCTTAAATATTTAAGTAGATTCTTCTCTCATACAATACATCCTGACCACAGTTTTCCCTCCTTCCACTCCTCCTAGCTGTCCCCCACGTCCCCTCTCTCCCAAATCCACCCCCACTGTTTCCCTTCAGAAAAGAGTAGATCTAGAGATAACAACCAAACATAACAAAAACAAGGTAAAATAAGATAAGGTAAAACCCCTCATGTTGAGGTTGGACAAGGGAACCCAATAAGAGAAAAGAGTCCTAAGAGCAGGTAAAAGAGTCTCTCTCTCTCTCTCTCTCTCTCTCTCTCTCTCTCTCTCTCTCTCTCTCTCTCTCCCTCCCTCCCCCCCTCCCTCCCTCTCTCCTTCCCTCCCTCTCCCTCTCCCTCCTTTCTCTCCCCTCCCTCCCTGTTCCTTCCAAAAATCCACCAAATCAATGACCATAACACATATGCAGAGGACTTGGAGCATACCTTTGCAGGCCCTATGCTTGCCACTTTCATTTCTGGGAGCCCATAGGAGCCCTGCTTAGTTGAGTCACTGGGCCACGTTCTCCTGGTGTCCTCTCTCCCATGTGATGGCAGTCATATCTTCCTGGAGCAAAACTCATTGGTTAATTGGTAGTGGTAGATATGAGAATTATTTCCATCTTATCTCAAGAATGCTTAGCACATGCTGGCTTTGTGGCAATAAGAATACAAGGATGATACATGTGGCTGCATTGGAGAAGGATTCCTGGGGGTGCCATGGCTTTGGTGAATGATAAGGAGTTAAAAAGGAAGAATAGTCACTAAAAGAAATGGTAATACATGTGAAGATAATATGTAAAAGTAACAGGGCAGAAAAGTCTCAACGTCTTTGAAAAAATCTTGTTATTAGAATTCATAGCACACCCTAAAAAAAATGAGTTTGTATTTCAAAGGGTTTACACTTAATGTCAAGATGCTTGATTTTTGTCATCAAAGCAATGGAGATCTACTAGGGTGAAGGATGGACATGACCATACTTGAAACAAGGCACCACTCCTGACATGGCTATGTGGAATGCATTGCGATTGAGAACGGACTGTGATTCATGGCCAAGACTGTGACCTCACTACTCAGCATTCTTATTTATCATGATCCCCCTGACTAACATGTAGAATAATTAAAAAAAAACACCAATGCAGGATCCCTGCCGATTGTTCTTTATGACATATGTGTTTACTGTATGGGAAGAATCATCTGTATTTTCTCTTCTTTCTCTATACCACAGACACATAGATCATTTCATGATCCATGGAATTTCTCTTTTTGGAATGCTGATAAGAAAGCCATGGCTCTTGAAAACACCTTAGAGCCATGGCTGTCAACAGTCTCAGGGATGCAGTCACGGGAGACCATAGAATCTGTTGTAGAATTCCTTTATCTTGCTGATGAGAGACAAGTTCATCATTGTATAGTTACCACTTTTGTAGGTTGTCATAGTTTATAATTCAAATTATAAAATCTTGATTCAACAGTAATGAGTAGTGATCTACAAAAGGAAAAGGAAAAACAGTCATCCAAGAGGACACCCCAAGACTCATGTTGACGGAGAGAATAGACTCTAAATAGTTGTAATAGCTTAAATAGAAATGGTGATGGTTAAGGTTTATTGAATGCTTACTACATAGTATTTAGTGGGTACTTATTGTACGCCCAGTACTGTTTTAATTACTTTATATATAATATATTTAATGCACAGCCACTTTTGTGGGTGAGACCTGTTAGTTATTCCTACTTCATCTAAGGATAATTTTATAAATATAAAAACTGATATACGAAGAGAACAGACTTTTGTCTCACAATCGTAGGGACAGTGGAAGGAGCTGGATTTGACTTCAACTGGAGTCAGAGTTCTTTACACTGCAGCCTACAGTACAGCCTTTCTGTACCAACAAATACCGACTGAAGGCTGAGGATGAAAAATCAAAATGAGAGAAATGTAGTGTTTCTGTGGCCAAGGAGAGTCAATGCAACATGTGATTTTATTGATTAACTACCCTGAGAACCTCTGGGCATTATGGAAAATGTAGTTTAGAGTTAGAAATGATTGGGAAAATATCTTCATTTAATTTGTAAACTATAAGAAGAATTTATTTATTGACAGTGATCTAAGATTTCTATTGAACAAAATTCCCATCAGCAGAGGCCTCCTATCCCCAGGACTGAACTCATAACCCTCTGACAAGATCTGAGATACCTGCCATGCTGTTGTGAACCCGCTTTAAGTTTCTGAGATGGGACAAGTTAACTCTATTTTCCTCTACCCACGGTGGCCTTAGTGATCTCTCATTGAGGTAACTTTGTGTGTGACTGCTGTAAGCAGCTCATTCATGGAGCCATGGCAGCTCTGTGGGATCATCATCACATGGAAGAAGAAACAGATGCTTTTTGAGACTGACCGGTACCACACAGTTTGGAGGTGACAGAACCAGCACTTCCATCTCAGATGTCTGATCCCCGGGAAGCATAACTGTTTGCTTCCCCTGTGTCTTTGACCTTATTCAACTGTCTGCACCTCTTTGTATGTTGTATTCAAAATTTTTGATTTATAATAGTGACGGTGCTCTTTTTATGTTGGGGATATGCCTGTCACCCAGGTGCCCCCAGTCTCTGCAGAGAGAAAGTGTGAATAGCGTATTCACCTGGAAGGGAAATGGAGCATGCTTTCCCCACTGTGCCTGCTTCACTGCCAAGCAGAGGATACTGGCTGGTGAGCTTGGATTGCCTAGTAGTTCATAGACCCCAAAGCCTCCTCTTCGGCTTGAAACTCTTGAAAGGAGTTTGGGCTTAGTGGTGTGTGTGTTTCTTTCATATTTGTGTGTTCTGCTTCTGTATGAGGCAGAGGGTTGATGTTAGTGCTTCCTTGATCTGTTTCTACTCTGTTTTTTGAGACATGGTTTCTCACTGAACTCGGAGCACTCTGATTGAGCTAAGCATGCTGGCTGGCCAGTGAGCTCCAAGGATCCTCTTACCTCTACTTCACCAATGTTAAATTACAATACATACTACCATGCCCAGCATTTTTATATGAGTGCCTGGGATTTGATCTCAGGTTTTCATGTTTGTGGAGCAAGCCATCTCCTGAGCCATCTCCATAGCCCCTGGGTTTAAACTTTATCATAATAGTAAGAGGAGCCACTGGATGATTTTTATAGATGTTTTGAAAATCCTGATTTAAACTGTATTCATAGTCATATTGACCCATAATTAGTGACTTTAAAGAAAATAAGTTTGTACTTATGAATTCTCACTTAAGAAATTTTAAAAAGAATTATTATTATTACTATTATGTTTGCATGTGCATGTATGCTTGTGTGTGTGGGTGTGTGTGTACAGACATGTGCATGCCACAGTGCCTATATAGAGGTTGGAGGACAACTTTGTAGAGTCTGTTCTTTCTTTGTGAGTTTATGTCGGTTCTGGGGATTGAACTTAGGTCAATAAGTTTGGGAGGCAAGCTCCTTTACTCACTGAGCCATCTTGCTGGTCCAAGAAGTTTTCAAAGAATAACAATGAAAGACGTGGGGGGGGGAGAAAGAATAAAACGTTAACACTTTATTATTATTATCGAAGAAGGAACTCACCAAAGGCTTCAAATTATGCTATGGCATCTTTAATTATAAAAATAAGCAAATAAAATAACTTGCATCTGTCATTACCATGATATGTTTCATAACTTTTATATGCACATGGAGCTTAAAAATGTAATTTAACAATAAATAATGACATATACCAGATATGCTCACTGTTTATTCCAGTACTCAGCCAAAAACCTAAATATCATTTAAATTATAAATACATAATGCAAATATAACGGCACAAAAATGTTCTAAAGTGCAACCAAATCACGAGGGAGGAGATCATGCAAACTGGTCTAGGTCAGCCCCCGAATTGCCCTGCAGCGAACACGAGACAAAGCTTTGGAAGTTCAAGAAGGAGGTGGAGAGGTGCAGGGTGAGGAGAAAAAGAAGCCAAAAAAGAAAAAGAAAAAAAAAACCCAAAAATACAAAAAAACAAAAAAAAAATCAAAAAACCCAAAAAAACCAACTAGTAACATTGTGAGAACTGCTTCTTTCCATATGTGTAGATATATGTATTGTTGACACATATACCAATATCACTGTGGGGAGAAAGGAGGGCATAACACAGCTTGAAGAGGTCACAGCAAAAATAAAAAAAGAGAAGAGAGAAAATTTACTGAACTTAAGTAAGAGAATTTTACTAGGAATTCTCAAGCTACTTGCCACTTTGGGGTTCTGGCTTAGTGGGTTTGCAAGATGCACAACATACACACTTGATTAGCTTTTCTGGTTCAAAGAAGTCAGCCTTGCCTGGGGTGGGAAGTCGGGGAAAGGAGGAGGGGAGAGGGGTGAATCTAGCTTAGAATATGTGCTACCTGATTTCCAAGAGGCTAAGGCAGTGTCCATTTGTTTGGGACCTGGGGATGGGACAGTTCTAAGTATGAAAATGCCCTTAACAATCTGATGTCAGCACGCTTCGAGGCTGTGTGGGGACAGAGGCTGCAGCTGTGGGGCTGCTGCAGCTGTGGCTGCTATGCTTGATCTTGGTCCTTGAGCACTATGTTACTGGTTTTAAAGGCTTTGTGGTAAAGTTGTATTGCTTTTTATTTCCCTGGTGAGGTGCCCTCCCTCCTCCCACCAGGGTCCCTATCACTCAATTTGGTCAACTCTGGGGTGTAGCCTAGTGAGAGTCAAGCACCAATAGTTTCTACCCAAAGGAGTTTGGAGCAGCCCCTCCCTCTTCCTCTCTCAGCATTGACCTTTGGTGAGCAGTGACACTCATAAGGGGCTGTTGGGTTCAAGGACAATGACCCTGAGAAACTACTGTTGTTCGTAGACAGGTTAATCATTTGGCTTTGGTGGCTGCCATCCTGTAAACATCACAGCGGAAATGATCAAACCACCAGCTCTTATGCCCTCCTTCATTCTCTCTATATTTTTTCTTTTTTTTTTCTTTTTTCTTTTTTTTTTAAAGATCCTACAGAGATGGTCCAGCTGCCAGGACTACTTTGGCAGGCAGCGTGTTACAGGACAAAGGATGTAAGAGGAGTCTATTAAGGCTGGACAGCCCAGGGTTATTTATACCCCCTTAAGCCCAAGTTCCCCGGACTAAAGACCCAAAGGCTCATTGACCTGATTAGCCTAGTGGAACAGTATCCCACTCCATCATTTAACAGAGTGCCAAGCACTGATGGAAGGTGGTGAGCCAAGAACTGCCACTTCCAAGGGGATAGTAGGCCTTGTCACACTAAGTGGTCCAAGCCCAAAGGGATGGTCTTTTTTATTCCTGTAATTCCCAGTTGGATGTGACAGAGCTGTTTCAGGATACATCTAAGTCAAGTGTAGCCTCTGGGTTGAGGTGGGCTGGGGAGATTAACATCTTACCTGGGGTCCTTCAGATAACCTGTTGGGTTTTCCTATCAAGTATAGGCCCATCTTAAGTTCTGATGTTGAGTTAAAACTACTTCTACCCCCTTAGTTATAAAAAAGGCCACAAGGAGCATGAACGCGGATATCTGGAAGTGAGATAGTTATTCCATTCCCAGGAAAAGGAAAATAAAGCTAAGGTACAAAACTAAATCTATATGCAATAAAGTTATTATAGACTGCTCTGTTAAGCAGAGTCCTCTGGAATTTATGTACAGTACAATAGTTTTCAGCTATTTATATTCCACAGTTAGACCTTAAGATTCTCCGTTTTTAAGACAATTGTTAAAGATACTTTTAAAGCTCTGAGCAGTTACAGTACATAAAGATGTTAGCCTTTTGTTTTTCATTAGATGCAAGAAGATGCTGGCTCAAAGTCTGGTTGGAGAACCAGGTTTGAGCAATTTGGTAAATATGTCAGAAAGGAAATTAGACATTGGAGGATAGAGACCATAAGACTCGTTAGAGATCAAGAATTCAAACATGACATTCATATTCGTCCATGGCCAGCACAGATTCATAACACGAATTCCATTTAACATATTTATGAGCATTTAAGACATGCATTTAAATAAAGTTGTTTTGTATTGGCTAACTCTACCGGGTGACCATTCTAAAGGGATCTACATCTTCAGATTACAATGACTGGGAGTTACATGAATGTTTTGTGTTTGCGGAGAGTAGATAGGGATCTGGGAAAAGAATTCAGAGAGAGAGGGGATGGAAGAGGGTGCATTCTCTCTTGAGGAGAGGCAGAATGACCATACATATTCTGTTGGTAAGAATGCTGTCATTGCAGAATGTTGGGATATTGATTATGGAAGCCTAGTTTCATGCAATTTTCTTTAAGGGGGGGATAGAAAATAGGTACTACTTAAAAAAAATCAAACCAGGCACAGTACACTCAAAGTTGGTGTATCAACACCCCTAAAATGCTATTAGTTTGGTGAGGCTTTCAATACCTCTCCCTGCTTACGCACTCTCTTGGGAAGTGCGTTTTATGTGTGAGGGAGAGTCCCCCTCACCTCGGAGGTTCCTGAGGAGGACTTTCAGCTTCTGTGGCTCATTTGTGCGCCTCCTATTGAAGTCAGCTCTGGGGTGTGTCTGGGCACAGTGGTCTGTCTGCAGGATGTGGAAGAGGCTGGCCATGTTGGGCCCGATCTTCTCCATCAGGCTGGCTCTGATTGTGCTGACCGTGTCTTCATCACATTCCAGAAGGCTTCGGACAAGTCTGTTGTAGTATCTGCATTGGGGGAACAGGTTTTCATTAGAGAAAGCAAAGTCAGGAGCAGGTTCAGACATCAGTGCCCAAGCTATGCAAAGCTGAAAGTGGCTTTTGCTTCCTTCTGAGCTCTGGGTTCACCATACAACACTAGAATATCCATCTCCATGTTTAGACTTCAAAATATTTAGATCACACTGAATAGTAGAAGGCTGACCATTATGTCTGAAATTCTGGAGAATGATGACTCTCAGGGATAAATGTGACAACCTAAAATGCTCTCATTTTGTAGGGAAGAAACTGGGGTGCTTGCTCACAGTCATACACTGAATGAATGGTATAAGTGGAATTAGTCAAATAAAATGAGTAGAATTGGTGGGCCTTAAACTCTAAGCTTGTGTTAGTACTAAATCACTGCACATGGACTGACAGTTATTTGGATGTCTTCTGCAACTTTCCTCTATCCTGGGCATGTGTGTGCTCAACAGTAGGTATATACTAATGCACATTCTAACTAAGTTTTGATCTATAGCCATGCATTTTCCTGTGAAATCTACTTTCCTTATACCTACCCAGTCAGTTTTGAAAAGGGTGATGACTGACAAGCTCTATTTTGTGGCTTCCTTCAAAAGCATATAGTAGCTTCCTGCAGCCAAACATGAGGTGGCAAGAGTGCTTGAAGGAAAAAAATGAATGGCCTTCAACAGTCCATCCTTCTGTGGGTCTGTGAAACCCTCTCATGTTGCTTACGCTTTTATGGACTCTTCCTTCTTTGGATGCCCCACAGACTTTAGCTGTCACCTCAAACACCAACATTTGATGGCCTCACGACTATTTCTTTTTCCCTTGGCTAGATTTTGAAAACTTTTCAAGGGCAGGGTGGATGTCCTTATTCTTTTTATCCAAGTTGCTGATTGGCATCAGACTGTATTGTCTGACCAGTAATTCACAATATTTTTTTTAAAATGAGGAGATAGAACATAAATAATAGGGTAGCTTTCTTGTCTAGAAGGATCACATCCACCTTCTTCCTGCATGTCTAACATTGGCCTTCTATTAGTTCTCACCGTCTGCCCCTACACTTCTACTTATATTGAAATACCTTCTTACTATATCAACTGAAATCTGACATCAATAGAAAGCATAAGGATATTCTTCTGTTGTACAAAAAAATATTAATTATTTGAAGAAAAATGATCTGTGATTCGGGTAGATTTCTAAGCAAACAAACAAAAGCCCTAAGGACAAAGACCTTTATGCATAGTATAAGTGACTTTCATTTATGCAACAAAATTCTCTGACTGTCCCAATCAACATAACCAAGTGTTATGGCTGTGAATGGACCAAACCATCTATGTTTAAAACTTCTAAGCAACTTGTACAGTTCAGGTATTTTCCAAACTGACTTGGGGCATTTCTGGCTTATTTTGACTCAATGGTTGTATAAACCCATTAGCTCTGTGCTCTTCCCCTGGTGACAGTGACCTGTTGTACTGATGTGGAGAGACCCTTTTCTAGGAGTGGTCAGGGTGTCATGAGGGCCACAGGATCATATGGGGAGAGGAGGAATCCTGTTTATTTTTAACTCAACTCCCAGGGCACATGAGCAAATATCTTGCTAGAATAACTTGACCCCCTAGAGAGGTCCTTTGAAGGATGGACAGTAAACAGAGAAGATCGTGAGTGACAAGCAAAGCAGTCACCTTTCTTTGAGTGAGATGGTGACGTTGGGGATGGAGAGAGGAACAGCTCTGGCTTGCCCATAGTCCTGGTTATAGCCCTCTTGTTAGGAACAATTATATCCAGCTGTGAGTGAAATTGGGATTCTCTGGCCCAGAGAAACATTTTCCAAACCTTTGGAATTACAAAGTACATGAGTTAAGCTGAGCTTTACTTGGATGGAGAAATGGGGAGAGAGCTAGCTTTGGAAAAACTGAGAACAAAACAGTTGTGCCCCAACAGCTTTCAGCCATCTATACCCTCATTCATCTCTAGGCATCAACTAATTTCTGGCCTCTTCCAGGACTTGGCTCCCCTACATCTTGGGGTCTACTTTAGAGGGTATTTTAGTTCTTAGAGGATACAGTTCCATTAAGGACTTTATAGCTCAGAGAAGTTAACCCATCTACATCTAGAAAGAACTTTTCATGACATATGTGTCCCCAAGTGGGCTGGAAAATGTGATTGCTCTTTAGAAACAGAAAGAATGCAAAGTTCCTTCTTTGACAGAATCGTAAGCTCTTGTCTGGTTGGAGAACTCTAAGCCCCTTAAAGAAAGTCAGCTTGTCTAGCTAGCCTGCAGTTTTGGGGCCCCACTGCTCCCTGACTCTGAGGACATCAACCTTTGCTGTTATGTCTCTGATAGATTAGACAGAATTCCTGACCTGCTCTTAGGTTGGCCTACCTTCTCTTAGTAACCACTGCTTCCCCGATTGGGCTTTGGTAACTCAGTGGAGAAGGCCAAGAATTTTCTACATTGTAAAGTAGAAAATTACAGACGGCTCAATTAGGAACTCCTCAAAGCTAAAGCACATGCCAGGCTGCCTGTTATCAGCTAACCCTTTTGTCTCCAGTGAGACTGAAATGTGACAGTCATCTTTGGACTGTGCAGGACAATGAGAAGACCTTTACTTTGGGTTGCTAAGCAACGCAGATGCTTCAAGAGGCTTGTGCCTGCAGCAAAAGTTGACTTAGCATTTGCCATATATTTATTGAGCACCCTTTTGAACCAAGAACATACAGTTACACTAGCTATGAGGAGGGATGTGTCTTTTCTTTTAGGAGAGAGCACACACAAAATTCCTTGCTGAACACCATGGTGTGTGTATATTTAGTTATTCATGGTATTCTATTTTGGGGTTTCAGTGACTTCTTGCAGGGTTTTTCTGGCTGTCTTCTTTTGAAGTAGAAATCAAAATAGCTTGGCTCAAGGCCATGTGAATTCTGGACCCTATTGGGCGACTCTCAGGCCATGAGACCTTCAGCAGGTTGCTCATCTCACTGAACCTCTGTCTTTCAGTCAGTTAGATGGGGCAGTAGAGCTAGATAACTGTTACCTTCAGCTGTGGTATTTTGTTTCTAAGGATTCAGCATGCATTTTTCTTCTTGGGCTAACAAAACCAGCACAACTCAGCAGAAGAAACCCGCTTTGTAAGGGGAGTTGGGATGTTTCCTATCTTTAAGCCTGACAGGCTTTATGCCATGATGTTGCACACTGCAATGAGGTAGCAGATTAAGCCTTCTGGTCGCAGAGCCTGGATGGACCTTGTACAAAGCACATATCTTTCTTCTCACTTTGAAAATTCCATCCTTGACCCCACTCCCTCCCCCATGCTCTTGGTGAAGAAGAAGAAGATCAGACATTCTCCATAGCTACAGTTTCAGCCATGCTTACCCAAATACACACACACATTCTGCCTAGGAACGTTCTGTGTGAGAGTTTATAAATAGTCCTTTGTTTCCCTTGATCAATATTATTCTTCTGTTTCCTGTTCCCAATCCATGCCCTAGAGAGTTGGACGCTTTGTCACTTTTCCCACTCTGGATCTGGGTTGGTCTCATTGGTTCCCAAGCTTCATTGGTGCCTTGCCTGCCTCATCAATCCTTCCTTCCTCCTTCAAGACTGAAAGTAAGGGTTGCAAATCAAGGCTGGGGACATTCGAAACCCCCTTCTCTCCCTGCACGCACCTTTGTCATGTACACACGTCCCTGTTCTGCCTTTCAGTCCAGCCAGGCTTTTGGAGTCTCCCAGACCTAAATCTCATGCTAGACAAATCACAGGAAGGTGGAATGAACCTGTAACTACTTCCCTTTGCAATTCTTTGCCAACTGGCAGGGACTTTGCGTGTGTCTATGTTGGGACTGAGGCTGGGAAAGCAGGATGTTTCAGGCGCTGAGTAGTTGAAATAGAGCAGATCAAGTCCTGCCTGGAAAGGAAATCGCTCTAGCCCTGAACACTGAAGTAAAATACTTGGAAAAAGGTAAGAGATGCATGAGAGAGTCTGGCATTTGAGAGCTGCCACCCTTTCCCCGTTGACCTTTTCTACTAAACATGAGCAAGAGGAGATGAAGGGCCTGGGCCTGGACTATTTTCTGAAGGCACTGCAAGGAAGACACTTTGGAAGAAGAATAATGGTCTAGCTAAGGACACCTTTTCAAAGGCTCCCCTTGGATAAGTGGGAATCTTTGGTTCAAACTCTGTAGCTTCCTTTCTACAGTGACTCTCTCTTTACAAGGGAAAATGCAACTTTAACTGAAATAGCCAACTCAGTATAACCTTGAAATTGGCTACCTGCCACTTTAGAGATCATATGTGTTCAGGATCTTTAACAATCTAAACTTATGCTGACGAGTCTGCTAGTACACCTCCCTTTAAAGTGCTACATAACTATGTCTTTTGTCCTTAACCATTGTCCAAGGAAGAATTCTTCATTTCTTTCCCCTATGGCAAAGGGTTAGTCTCCAACAACTAGCCAAGTATTAACCCTTCCCTCCTTCAACAAAAAATCTTCCTAGGAGAATTTTTTAAATTGAGGTTGATACAGAAAGATAAGATATTTAAGGAAAATGGAGTTTTGTTTTTTTTTTTTTGTTCTGAGAAAGTCATGCAGAATTGCATTCAAGGACTGCATGGTAGCTTTCTAAAAGATGAGTTGTGGTTCAGTAGGCCACTAACTGTAGTTAAAAATGGCTCCTACATGTCACAGAAGTTTCATGTTAGGGATAAAGCCCCAGATAGATATGGCTGTTGTCATTCTCAGAAGGATGGGGTTATTTGGCTAGGAGGTTCATCAGATTAAGTATGTGATAACTCTTAGGGGACTGGACCAGAATAACAGAACTATTCTTTGTGAATACATAGAGATTTGGTGGGAGAGTCAGAGAATCATGAGATTTCATCCAATCATAGGATTTGGCTTCGAGCATCGCTGCAGGCTGTCGTTAACTGGCTTATAGTTAACTACTGATTCTGTCTGTCCATGTGTTCCCAAGTAGCATCCTTCACCTCTTGCTAGACATCTTTCCAAGATACCAACAGTGGACCAGGATGCAAGGTCTCTTATGCATTGGGGGGTGCATTCCTATCTGGAAAAGGCTTCAAAGTCAACAACACAGCAAGACCTGGAGGTCAGATGGTATGATCCCAGTGGCTTTGGGTCACCTGAGATGCAAATGATACCTGGGTAGCCACCAGCTTTTTCTTCTGGGAAGTCTTTGGCTAGTGGGTTGGGATGACATACTGCTTTGAAGGGAACATGAGAATGGCTCCCTGAAGCCATTTCACTTTTCATAGAGAAAAATCCAGGTCCTGGTGAAATTAGACGACTTGTTCTGGAGATAAGATGATTAGCTACTGAAGTGTCTGGCTTTGGGACTAACTCCAAATATACAGATTTAGTAAAGTCTGCATTCTGACATTTGACCAAGGTTTTTTTCTTTGTTTGTTTGTTTGTTTTTAAATCATGGCTTATTGTTCTGTTGCTCTGCCATGGTTTCAGACAAACCTGATGCCTCAAAAGGTACTTTCCAGAAGCTTCATTGCTTCCTTCAGGCTTATGGTAAGAACTGGACAAAGAAACTCACTCAGGAAAACTGCAAACCATCTTTCTGCTAGCTGTGTAGGAAGACTGTTATAACACCAGAGGGAAAGATTACTGCTCTGGTTATGGTGGCCAACCCCCACCTTATCCCCTCATGTTGTGAAGAAGAGGACCCTCGGGGTACCTGTTGGAGAAGTGATTGGGCAGCTGTATGACTTCAGTGATGGCTTCCGGGTTGCGCTTGGCAATGCTGCAAACATTGAGTTTGCTGTAGCAGTCTTCCTGCACCTCGGCGATCATCCTCTGGAAAGTAGAACACCTCCGAATGGCAAGGAAGACCTTGGAGGTGATCCCATTGGCGATGCACTTTAAGCTCTCTTTGACAAATGCTTTTCCCTGTCAGGGATAAGAAGATAAATGTTAGTTAAAGCTTCTAAAAGAGGTCTGGGTCTATGACACAGGAACCTTCAAGGGGGACACAGCATGACTAAGAATTAACAAAGGAAAATCTCTTCTCTCTTGGACTATCTGAACACTCAGCTCCACAGACAGGAAATGGGTTAGGAAGGAGCCATTATCAACTCCTCCGAGGCGTGAAGTTGGTCAGGATCAGTTTTATGTTCTTGGGATTAAGACAGTTAACTGGGAATTTCAGATAGCATGCTAGGTCATTCAGAGGAGAACATTTTTATTTCCTCTCAAAGCAAAAATACTTTCGTGCTAGCCATCCCTCATACTATAAGCCAGACTCTGTCAACGCCTTATTCCTGGTCAAAACTATTTGCATATGCCCCCGACCTGTGTGTGTGTGTGTGTGTGTGTGCGTGTGAGTGTGTGTGTGTGTGTGGGTGCTCCAGTGCGTGTTTGCACACCTGGGATGAGCCTTTTGGTTAGGAGGCTGGGAAGCAAGGTTGGCTCTCAATAGGACTGGCTCTTATGGAGAGTAATAAGCACTGTTAAAAAGATGATCAGCCAGAGGGAGCAGAAGTCAAGGTCCAGTTACCTGAGTGTCAAATTTAGCAGCACTGTACAAGAAGGATTTACAAATGTCATACATCCCATCTGTGTCACACGTGGAGTTTTCCAGGCATGCAAAAGCCCCGCAGCCAACCTGCAGGGCACTGTTGAGGCAGCGAACCACTTCGGCTGGAAGAGAAAGTAGAACCAGTCTGAGTCAAGCAAAGGGGCTCTGGTGGAATCCAGTAGGTGCAGAGGCCAATACCAAGGGCACATGATCTGAACTTATCCTTGGACTTTGATTTTGGGTTCCATTAGATAGAACAATTAGAAGAAAAGTGGGGTGAGAAAGGGGACGGGTAGGATCTTTTTCCTTCTAAGACTCAGAATAGGGGTGGTGCCTTCCCCCTTAGGCACAAGCTTTCTGGGTCTCACCCTTCTATGTATTTGATGGCTAGAGAAGTAAGGTAACCTTTTAATGCATAGTGTCTTCTGGTGGTGATAGGAATTAGGCAGTGACTGAAGGTCAGGCTCATGATGAGGTTGGGGGAGGACCAGAGAACCTAGCTGCCCTCTGAAAAATGCAGCCTGGAGTAAAAAGCATGGTATTTTAATCCAAATGGTAGAGAGTAATTTGCTGAGTCCATTTGGAGGAAGACCCTTCCCCACGAGGGCTTTTCACCCATGATGGCATTGGCAGAAAGGAATTTGAGCCCTTTATATCCAACCCAGCCCCCCCAACCACAGCCCAGTGCTTAGAGGTATGAATAATCTCTCATATTAAAAAGGCTTCTTTTCAAAAAGGAGAAACACAGGTGTGGAGTGACGGGTCCAAGGCACTCCTTGTGAAAGGCTGGAAGAAAACCGCAAAGAACTTGCACCAGGCTTTCTGCATTCTGGATAAGATCTGCCATAAAAGTAATTTCTCTCCCACAGAAGGAGGGGTGTTCTGGCAGGCAGCTCAGCAAGCAATGATCTGTAGCCTTCTTACCGTAGGATTCTCTTCCCAGATCAAAAGCATGGTTTGGTTAGGTTAGGCTTCCCCGCCCCCCCTCCCACCACCCGCAGCCTCTGGGATGTTACAAGTCATTTCCCTAATTATATATTTCCACGGGTTCAAATTATAACTTTGCTTTAAGCAGTTTTAATATGCATTAGGGCTGCTATTGTTTTAGGCAAGCTCGAATTGTGAATCCCGGCATCGCTATAGCAACTAAGTACAAAAGGAAGCCAGGCAAAAGGCCTCCTCTGGCAGGGACCTGCGCTCTTCCAAGGAGAGCATCTGCAGCATTTGACACCTGCGGGGTCCCATCTCTGCTAACAGTTGGGGAGATGAGTGAGTGGGGAACCAGAAGTCAAGGGACATAGGGGTCCTAACGCCTTTTTGCCTCTGAAGCCCGGGACCATATACAGTTAACTGGTGTGGGAGTCGGGCGGAAAGTAAGACCTTTCCCTTGGAGAAAGAAATGCTTCATTTCACAAATGCACTTCCTTCTAGGGACCATGGGCTGCATGGGCGATTGAATGGGGAGCCCGTGAGAGCGAGGGAGGAGCCAGGCAGGCTTGTGGAGAATGGGGTGTGTAGGTCCCCCCTCCTCTTTTTGAATGCGCCCTGAAAAAAAATTTCTTTTTTCAGACTTGAGGGCTACGGTTCCACAAATCAGTGTGAGGAGGGGGCTTGTCTGTGGGCTGTCTGAAGAGATAGAGAAGTCAAGTTACAAGGTCTCAAAGGAGCAGAGAGAGAGACGGCAGCAGGTAAGCCACTCACTACCTTAACACAAGCTTGTGGAGTAGAGAGAGCCGCTGTGAGGCGTGCCAACATTCAAGCCTTTCCCCGCCCCCTCCCCCCAACAAGAGGGTACGTGCCAGATTTCAGGCAATCAGGCTAGGCTTATGCAATGAAATACCCTCAGCAGAGCGCCCAGCTTCTTCGTTAGTTGCATGCAATTTATTAAACAAAGGAACTCCACTTCCTAAGGCTATTGGATTACACTGGCAGTTCATTATCACCAGGCAAGAAGCACATTTATTACCGAGATCAGCCGTCACAGAGACACATGCAAAAGTGAGAGAGGCAAATGAGGACAGCTCTTTGGGGGGGAAGAAACCGGTCCTGGGTTTGCTTGCTTACCTGAATTTTGAGCCGCCACCCGGGATTTTCTGGGGCTCACAGAATCATTCTGTTCCGCCTCGTGCGCTGCAGCAGCACTGATGACCAGCGCCAGAATCACTGCTGAGTTTTGGAGCATTCTCTGAGAAGTTTCCGCTAAGTTGTTGGCTTTTTTTTTTCCTCCCCCCTTTCCTCTTTCCCTCTCCCGGCTTGAGTGAAGATGTGGATCTGGATATACTGAAAGCTTAGGTGAGGATTTAAGGAGGAATTATTGTGTGTGCGGCTAGCTGGCTGGCTGGCTGGATAGCTGGCTGGCAGGCGGCGGCTGCTGCTGCTGTTGCTGTTGCTGCTGCTGCTGCTGCTGCTGCTGCTGCTGCTGCTGCTGCTTCTTGCACCTCTGGCTTTTGCAAACTGGGGGCCCAAGAGCTGCACCCAGGGATTTTATAGCCGTCTTATCGGTCCTCAGGATCAGGGACCAATCAGATCCTTCAACTGGTCCGTTTAGCCAATAGGCAGGCACGCTTATTCAGCTGGAGCTTTTTGACTTCTTAGAAATATTTTCCAGCAAATTGAAAGTACCTGCTGCCAATGATGTGTGTGTGTGTGTGTGTGTGTGTGTGTGTGTGTGTGTGTGTGTGT